CCCCAAAACCCCAAAACCCCAAAACCCCAAGATTAGCAGCAAATATTGAAATTACATCTTTACTCCATCTTTTTGTGATTGACATATCTCATAAAATCAACCTCTTCTTCTGTATACTCATTTTTGATATTTTTCTTCTTCTTAATTTTATTCTTTCTGGATTTGAAAGCAAGAGGCTTTCCTCTAAACAAATTATTCTGACTCAAATCTTCTTTCTTGATAAGCTTAATTTTATTCAGCTCAAGTTGTTCTTGCTTGGCTTCATTGATCTCTTTCTGGGCTTCACGAATCCTAGAATATGAGACCTAGAGATTACTTATTTTTGCTTTCTATCAGCACTAACCTTCTTAATAGCTATAAAGATGATACTTAAAGCATACCCTCCATAACTAGAGGATTATCTACATCTAGTTTATCAGAGACATTATGGTACTCAATTTCGATCTTTCTAAGCATGTTCATGCAGGACTCTAGTACACCTTCGGGGGTATCCTCTGCTAAGGCTAGAGGAATAGAGCCTCCTTGTCTTCGAGCCATGGATTCTGCAAATTCATCGTGATTGTCTAAGTCACTTGTCTGAATTTTGTGAATTTCGTATAGTTTATAGTCTAAAGTAAGCCAGGTTCCTTACTAACTTCTTTCATAAAAGACTCAAGCCTAAACTTGGCTTCCTCACTCAATGGCTCCTTTACCTTGAAGTTAGGCATCTTTGACAAACTAAATTTGAATTAAGGATGTATGAACTGAAGAAATTAAGGGTGAAAATTCAAGCTTACTTTGACTTATTTGATTTGAGTTATCTTGTCCTTTACTTTGGAAATTTCATCTTCCTTTGCCTGAATCTTATTATTAAAGAGCTTCTTCAAATCCTCATAATTGAATTCTTTCTCTTGAATCTGTGTCAAAATAAAGAGATTGTCTTCCTCAAGAGCACTTAGAATATCTAGCATCTTTTGTTTGTTAAACAGAGATTTTTCATCTAGTATTTCCCTAAAAAATTAAAAAGTTACCCTTACTCTTCTTGTTGAGAGGATTCAGTCTTAATCTCTATGGATTCGTCTCCATGGTCTCTCTCCGTGATGAAAAGTTTATTTTTATGATCCTGCCTATACTTCATCACGACTTCCTTTAGTAAGTTCTTATGGTTCTCCAAATTTGGCAAGATTGCTTTAGAATGCTGCTTATTCATCTTTATAGAGTGCTTCAACTTCTGGATGCCTCTGAACTTGTGAACATCTTCTATAAACTCTCTGTGACCTTCATTTGTATCTATTTTCTCATTTATCCTATTAATTTCATTTTGAATTTCAGAGATTTGGGCCATCTTCCTATAACAATCGTATTCCATCTCTGATTTCTTTTTAGCCATCTTCTTCACCTGTCCTTGGATTACTGAGATGTCTTCCTTAAGCATGAACTTGTAGTCCCTATGGAAGGTTTTACAGCAGAAATTACATGAACTTTTTCTTGTCGATCTCAAAAGCTTGCCTTGACATATCAAGTCTTTCCTTCTCATTCTTGATATATTCCACAAGTTTACGAGTTTCATCGTATTTGTCATTGATTGATATTTCTTTTCCTATAAAGTATGAACGGAAATAATTTTTAAGGACTTACTGAGAATCAGTTTTCAACCATCTAGATATTCTCGTCTGTCCTCACTGTTCTCTCTGGGAGAGGTTAGCCTTGGAACACTGATCTGCCTGGTACTTTGGCTAGAGACAAGCTCTCTTCCTTCACTCTGTTGGGTATGCCTTGACTTCCTATCCACAGCAAGGGTTCTCTTAAGTTTAGCAATTTGGTTCCGACAAAGGCTAGGGTCAATATTGAAAATCTTGTCTCTCATTTTGCCTGTAACAGTCTGTGGTTTGATGCTCTTGATCTTTCTAATAATACCTGTACGGTCAGTCCTACTTCCACTGTTATAATTTAAACTTATTTTTGATTTCTTTCTCTTTCAAATTATTTAAAAAATTACCTTCTGATTCAGATTGAGAGCCCTAGATCTCTCTATTTGGCTGATCTCGTTATGCACAAGGAGCATTTCAGTATCATAGGTCCGTTTTCCGAGACTGGTGACACCAGCAATAAAGGGATTTTTATTCCTACTGGGCCTCTGCAGGGCTAATCTTTGCTCAGAGTTATACTTGCTCAATCCTATCATCGGCAACTGTCGAAGCTGGTTTGGAACACTAAAATCTAGCTCCCTCTCTAAATAGTTCCATCTACAAGCTTACCTTCAGAATATCCTCTTGTTGAGGAAGGCGATATAACATTTTTCTCCATTTTAAATTATCAAATAAGCCTGGCGTACTAGGGGTTTTGGGGTTTTGGGGTTTTGGGG